GCCCGCCCCAGGCGCCGACTGCTGCGCTCCTGGAGCGCGGAGCAAGCGTTGAGGCGGGAGGACTAGGCACCCCGGCCCCTCCGGGCCCCTCACTCTATCACGGATGGGCGCGGGAATCCGGCTCGAGCTGGGGCCCTGGGGTCGCGTCGACCCCCCTTGCCCTGTCCCAGTGGAGCCCCGGAGGCGCTAATATCTCCAGACCTGGCGGTCCAGGGGAGCCAGAGCAGAGTGTCAGCCTGCAGAGGCCTGGGAGAACGAGCAAACAACTGGACATTATTAATAGTTAATGCGCTTCGTATGGCTCCAGCCGCCTGTTGGCTCAGCAGGGTGGACTCTGGCTCTCACGTCTGCCCCAGAGGAAAGCCGGCCTACTTGTTACTCCTCGGGACTCCCCGGGGGTGCTCCGCCGCATAGTCTGTGACCACGCCAAACTGGGAAGGTCTGTGGGTTCAAACTCGAACCTCCAGTAAAATGAACCAGCCCAGTAGGCCGCCCACAGGTTTTCTCAGGGGCCTGTAGCCCTCCAGTGGGGGGCCACAGCTTTTCACTCACAGGAATGTTTGGCCCTGCACCCCTCCTGATGGGATTGCTTCTAAAAACCAGACTGCATACATCTCTCCCTTTTGATTTGACAGAGAAGATCTTCCTGAGTGGGGACTCCTTTAGATAGATGCTGGTTGTAGGGCTTGGCTGTTCCCAAATCCAGTGTCTTTTCTCACACTGATGTCCATGATCAGCAGCAAGCAGAGAAAGTGCCCAGGGGCTTCTGATAGATGCTCAGTTAAGGACCTGGAATTGAAGTTTTTGCCATACCTACACAGCAGCGCCAGCTCTGAAGAGGGGTGTACGCTGGGCCAGGGGATTATTTCCCTGGCTAGACAAGAGATAGGCTCTGTGCATGTCCCACAATGAGAGCCCTATCCACATCCTTGCAAAACCAAGACGTATTTGTCTTGCTTGAGGCAGACCTGTTAAGTGCAGAAATTTGAAGTGGGTAGATCTGTTAGCCAAGTTCAGTTCTCCTCTGTCACCTTTAAGTAAGGAAACAGAAAGGGAATAGACTTGCCCCATGTCACACAACTGGTACAAGGCAACTTACTATGAACTGGAAACCCAGATCATCTCCTTCATGGAGAATAAAACTTGGTGAATGCCCATGTGCTGGGAGGTCAATCATTCATTCATTTATTCATTCAGAGGATGTGGGAGAAGATGACAAAATCCATGGTGGTACAGTCCTGGACAATGGCTAGTTACAAGGACAGTCTGTGCTGCTACACCTCCCTACTCCTGTTGATCTCATCATCTGCATATCCCAGGCTGTGCCCTACCCCGAGGCATCAGAGGAGGAATTTAAATGCTTTATGGGTTTATAAAAAGTGGTTTGTCACTGGGGTTGTGGCTCAATGGTAGAGTGCTTGCCTAGCATGTGTGAAGCACTGGGTTCGATCCCCAGCACCACAATAAATAAAGGTATTGTGTCCATCTACAACATATATATATATATATATATATATATATTATTTTTTTAAGTGGTTTGT